TAAATTTGATCTCATTTACATTGACTCATTTTCGGCTGATGTTCCCTTTGACACTTATGTTGGTGATATGATTGTTTCACTAAATTACCCATCACTCATCCCCTTATTGTATATACATATGTTTGCAGGAATTCAACTATCTCCTCTATGGATGTGGTGCCTCCCCTTTCTTCTATTGCCACCCAATCAAGTTTAGACACTATGGATCATACTCCGCGCTACCCTCAGCGTTCTCATAAATGTCTAGACAGGTTTGGTTAGAGTAACACTTATTATTCTCCTAACTTTTGTTATTTCCTTATTTCTATTCACTCCTTATCTGAGCCCACCTTCTACAAGGAGACTTTATTTGATCCACTTTGGAAACAAGTTATGGATGAAGAGTCGTCTGTCTTACATAAGACCAGAACTTGAGAGGTAGTGTCTTTATCACCTAGTAAATGCACCATTGATTGTAAGTGAGTTTATAAGATAAAAACCAAGTCTGATGATTCTGTGGAACCATATGAGTTTGATTAGTACCCAATGATGTTGCTCAGGAGTATGGCCTAGACTATGATGAGATTTTTGCCCTTATTGCGAAGATTACCACTATTTGCACTATGATTGCAATTACTGTTATTCGCCAATGGAGTTTGTTTCATATGGATGTAAAAAATGTATTTCTTCATGGAGATTTAAGTGAAGAAATGTTTAAGACTCCTCCTCCTGGATTGTTTCATAGTCCTAGTTAAGTATGTCGAATTTACCGACTTGTATATAGCCTTAAACATGTTCTCAGGGCACGGTTTGTCAAAGTTTCTTCGATTATCTCTAAATTGGGTTTTCGCATCCGTGACCATGATTTTACTATATTTTTACGGTCTACTTCCACAAGTTCTATTATTCTTTTACTATATGTTGATGATATGATTATTACGGGTGATGACACTATTGGTATATGCTTATTGAAAACTCAATTGTAGGACCATTTTGAGAAGAAAGATTTGAGACAGCTTAGGTATTTCTTGAGCATAAAGATTGCTTCATCTCCTAAAGGTTATCTTTTCTCTCAGTCCAAGTATGTTTTGGATGTTATTCAATATGCCCATTTATTAGATAATCAGACAGTTGAAATGCCTTTAGAGCTGGATGTTCGTTACTCCTTTATCTGATCCTACACTCTATCGTCATATTGTTGAAAGTTTGGTATATCTTACAGTCACTTGTCTGGATATCTCCTATTTTGTTCATGTTGTTAGTCAATTTGTTGCCGCACCCACCACTATTCACTGGGTTGTTGTATTTCATATTCTTTGGTATCTTTGAAGTACTCTGCATTAGAGTTTGTTATTCTTCTCCTCCTCCTCTATGGAACTCATAGCTTATTCTGATGCTGATTGAGTTAGTAACTCTATGGACGATAAGTCCACTATTTGCTTTTGTTTTTTCCTTGGTAGTTATCTTATTTCCTGGAAAAGTAAGAAGCAAATAGTTGTTTCTCGTTCATCTATTGAAGCTGAATATCGTGTTATAGCATCTACTACAGCTAAGATAGTTTGGTTACGATGACTCATTGCTGATCTTGACATCATGTTACCTGCGCCGACTCATGTATTGTGACAATAGTAGTGCCATTCAGATTGATCATAACTCAGTTTATCATGAGTGCACAAAACATATTGAGATTGATTACCATTTGATGCGTCATCATCTTCAACTAAGCGCTATCTCCCTCCCCTTTCTTTCTTCCAATATGCAGTTAGCAGTGTTTTTTCACAAAATCTCATACTATTACTCGCTGTCATTTTTTTTTTTGACAAACTCTTGATGCTTTATGTTACCAAATCATGACTTTGAGGGAACGTGTTAGAATAGTTAACATATTTAGTTTTAAGGATAGCTTAGTCTTTTGTTTTCTTTTATGTTGGGGCCTACTATATAAGAACCTCTTGTATACATTTTTTTATTAAGTTGCAACAGACTAATTTAGTGACAATAATATTCTCTTTTTATTAGGGAGAGTGAGCATCTACAATCCTTAATCAAATCTTGCCACATATTTAAATTTGGGTAAACACAAGTTAAAATCGAGTTCCAATCTTTACTAAAATTCATACTGAACAAAGAGAGACTCATATTTTTACTTAAATTAAAGGAGATTCAAACTGTTACTCAAATCTTTAATGATTAGATTTTATCTCATTTAAAGATACACTAGTTGTATTTCACTTTTCTTTAAATTTATGTTTATATTTTTTTAAATTTGAGTTTCTCTATTGAAGTTTTATATTAAATCGAGCTTTTCACTCAAATATTAACTTAAATTTGCATAAAAATTTGAATAACTTAAACCACAACCAATAACCAATAACCAATAAAGAGAAACAAAAATTATTGCTACAGCTCCAATAGCTTACGTAAGAGTCCAATATTCTTCAAGTGAAGGATAAATTTGGAACAAAATATAGAACTTAGGACTCGATGGAAATAAATTATGAAAAGTAAGACAACTAATAGTTTTTTTTTTTTTTCTGTAAGGAAAAGTATAACTTAATGGCAATTTCCCCAGAAATACAAAGCCCCCTAACAGTTCGAGTACATTGCACAAAGACCCCTATACTTTTAAAAATATACTAATACATTGTGTCAATGGATATATACAACTGTTAATTGGATATGTGTGTTTTTTTTTATTATTATATACCCGCCTCATATGTAACCAACACGTTTTGAATTGAAATCCATTGGCACCAAAAAAAAAAAACAAAAATTTAAAATCCATACAAGCACCCCTATCAACCACAATCGCGCCCGCAACATAGCATACTCTGTCTCCCAAGCTCCTTCTCTCCTCTCTTCTCTCTATCTCCCACATAAGCATTATTGAGATAGTGTGAGAAGTGTCTACCTAGGTGTTGTGAAAGATCAATTCAAAAACTCCTGGTTGATGATATGAGAAGCTTACATGACACATGCTAATTTATGGTTCAACCACCACACATACACAATGTTTGATGAAAGTGTCATAATAACTTAAGCCACCCAACAACACTCTAATAGCATGCTGTCTAAGGCAGGAGTTTGGGGCCGGCAATTCTTAACATGATTCGCGAGGCCTACACAAAATCATGTGCTGTGCGACAAGGTTGATACGCTTAACAAATGAATCTAACACAAACCCGTCTATACGCAAAATGAACTTCACTACATACAATTATATACGTTACAGATCCAGTTAGAATTGACATGATGCTAACTCGACCAGACAAGATTCACTAACAGCCCTTCACTGAGGAACCAAAATTCCCAAATCTTGTTGAGCCATAATATTATGTGTTTTTTTTTCTTGAGTGATATTCACCTTCTCCTTCTACAGCAAGGAAATAAATCCACCCATCTGCATACTACCACAGACTTTTACCAACTAGATGTTCTATTTATCTGCATGACATCAATGTGCAGCGGATGTTATTCTTTAGATTCCAACAACAACAAACTGCTTCCAATAATAACATCTCGAATTATTTTGCTCTTTCTTTTTCACATGACATCTCAATTGTCATATTCCCCAAACTGATGAAGGTTTTGATATACTATCAATCTGGTAAGATTGAGTGAACCAAATGGTTTCAACATTTTCAAAAACTATTCCACCAAATGCAACTTCAGCAAAACCCAAACACGTACTACATCTACCACCTCAGCAACAAGATGAAGATCATCTGTCAACCAGTGTGGGAAAACTTCAAATAAACATGCCACCCAACATCTAATACAGCCTCTATAATACTATGCACGAGTACACGTTTGTAAAACTCTAATGTCCCATCTCTACTCCATTTGCTCATATGTCCGCAAATAATGTAATTACAATAAAGTGTGTATCCCTCTCTGCCAAATGCTTATCTAGGTAATACTAGAGCATTTGAGTATTTCCAAGATGCCAACTAAAATGGGCTAAATTCTGTTTCATTACCTCTTTCTTTTTTTCTTTTTTGGGGTCTGGGTTTCATTTCCTCTTCAAGTATAGCCTTTTATAACAAAGACATCAAATCACCAAATCCACTAAATTAAAGAGTTAAGAGACCATGCTTTTAGTTTTTGAATCTCGGTCATTGATACCATGTCTAGTTGTTAGTAAATGTCAAGTTGTAATTAAATTTCAAAACTATAAAACAACAGAACCATGATATGTTCTTTTGATCATATTTATCCATCTACCAGCATCTATCTATACAAAGTCATATCATTTCACAAAGAATAACAAAAAAAGGAAAGGAAACTGCAGAAATAATTTTGAAATTGGTGTTAAAATTTCTTAACTCTTCACAATTTTATTTTGGAAGTATTCATGCAATTTCTATATCGACACAATATGGACAAGGAAGTCATGCAAATTAATTTGGGTGGTGAAACGACAATACATTATAGGCAGTGCACTGCAAAGGAACATTAATAAGAAACATAGTGTTATCACTCTAAGTTAATAAACACTGTACAATTTATTGAGATGAATTTTGGTTGCTGGTTGGCTGCTTGATATTATTCTCATACCTACTAAAATTTTTTCCTCTGAAAATATCCTATTATCTTATAGGTAGTAGATCAGTATTATGAGACCCCAGTTACACAAATATCTTATAAAGTATAGTTAGAAAAACGAGATTCTCAAATGCTCGCTTTAACATACCTTCTTGTATTAGATATGCAAAATACAACTAAAATGAGACAGCCAACATTTCTGGGCACAATCAAGTAATCAATTTACATGGGTCCTATATGGAGCTGCATATTTTAGAATATACAATGGAGGGATATGCTCAATAGCCATATACAGGTAAAAATAGGGGGGAGAACAGTTGGAGGGGCATAGCAATTGACAGAGAAACACTCATACTTAATCTTTCCCTTTTTTTTTTTTTATTGTAAAGTCTAAAGCTATACACCAAAGCTATAAGAGTGAAAACTTACAGAACATCCCATAAATAAACCTAAAATATTGTCCAAGATCAGCATTGTCAATCATACAAACCCTCTTGCTCCCATATGTCCGATAAAAAGTCAACTATCTCCTGGGAAATGGGCCCATTAAACAGTTAACAAGAGTTGGAAATCATAATGTGCAGCAACAGAAAGCTTGACAAGCAATGAAGAATTGCTCAACTTACAGCGAGTGGGATTGGCTGAGGGAAACGTCTGCTAGTCCCAAGTAAGCTTTCATAAGTTGCATTCCAACTACAATAATACAATGAATAAAAACAACGGTGATGAACATATAAGCCGAATAAAGTAAACAAGCAAAAAAGATACAAAAGCTGAAACAAATCACAAGCAATAGATTCTTACTGAAGAGTTGAAGAAGATATATGTACAAAGTTTTATTAAATTAACTACCTTTGCACAAAAACAAGCTGCCAAATTACTAAAGCATATTTTATTCGTATAGCTTACAACAAAATCTTTTCTTCGGTAAGCAACTTCCAACCCTTCAATTTGGGTGACTAATTCCCCGTTTCCACAAAATTACCAGATGACTGATTCCCAATTGAATTGTTTGATTGACGCATAAAAGGGAGCAGTATACACACCTTAATATGGGTTCCCAAATTCGTCTTGGCTTCTCATGCCTTTTACTTTCAGTCCACTGAAGCCTAGTCTGGTTCCAGTGAAGTAAACCTGCAACCAACAAACTCTGAAGATCACTAACATTATTACACAAGTATGAAAAACCATGCAGGAAATGATCAGAAGATGTTGTAAACACAACTATATCCACCAGATCATCATGAAAAAGTTGCATCAAACCAAGATGTTCTATGAGGTACATCAAAACCTACTTCTCCATGGGTATCATCACAAATCAATTATAGGCAGATTATAGATTCACCATTAAATGGACATGGAAGCCCAATTATTGCGCCAGAAGATAACAAAGAAACAAAAATTGAACTTGCCATGATTTATAAATTCAGAATGGTTGCTAGTGCTGCCAGTGCCACTGTACTGACTGAGGTTCTGGTTGATACACTGACAGATGATATACTTCTTTTGGACTGAACTGTACTATTGTCCATCTCCCATGTGCTGGTGCTCCAAAAATCTTCTGATATACTGGGTTTGTTCACCACGCGCCCTTGAATTCTTAGTCCCTTTGATGGCTCATCAACAGCAATAATTGGATGGGATTTCACATAGCAACCAAAACAACCCCTGCTCTGTTACAATTCAGATTTAGTCACATATACAACAAATGCTAGCAGCAAGATAACCCACTTTAAGGCCAGTAATAGAAGTGGTGGCACATCATCAATAAAACACATGCATATGAATAGTATCAGGACTAAAGTACTTTCTGCCAAATATCATTTTCTCATAACTGAACAAAGGAATGACCCCTTAGATCTAGTTATGGTGAAGTCAAACTAAACCAGTCAGTAAATCTGAAATATTTATCTAAAATTTTAAAAGCAACTGAAGTGTATCCCAGCATAGTCCTCAAATGTTTTGTGGGAAAGAAAACTGCCAAAACATTGAAATTTCACTCGTAGTCCAAGCCTCGGGCAGGGGAAAAACACACAAAGGGATTTAGTAAAGAACTAGAGTATCCAGAAGATATAAAAACTAAAAAGACAAAAGAGAAACGCAAAAGATGTTTGGAGCCAAGGACAGAATTCCTAAGACACAGGAACCACACCGTGAGGCTCATCATATACAATTGAAAAGGCAATTATAAGTAAAACTACTTGTGATATAGAAAATTCACAAGCACTAAATGTATATACTGATTGAATGCCCTCCATTCTTCCTTCACCGGCCATCGGCTAGACAAGAGCGCAAACTCGCTGTAGTACACCAAATTAACTAACCAATGCTACTTCTATTGCCTAAAAGCAACTCATTTATCACATTCACGACATCTCCAAAAATAACTACCACATACACTACAAGCTCACTTCTGTCTTTTTATCTTACAACAACAACAAAAAGATACATCAACATAAAAATCCACCAATTCGGCAGTTTACAATTTCCAGTTACAAGTTGATGACCACAGCACCAAGGTCAAGAAAATAGTGCAGGAAACAAGCATGTTGTGCAGAACCCATACATGATACTACACACTACAATTTTGACCAAAAGCGTAAATCATTTTCTGCATCCATTTTATTTAAAGTTTCAAGATGCAGCATTTTCTACCTCCAAACCTTGCATTTTGAGCTTTAGTTTACCACTAAGGACTTAATCGATCTCTCTACAAGCGCAAACTCTCCAGCTAATGTAAACATCAATTACAATAGGTTCTCCTCATTGTTTGAACTTTCCAACCTCTCTCAATTCGCCACTGATGTTAAGTCAAATAAAGCACCCCAGTCCTCAACGCTCTGCCAGAACCTGTTACTTCAATCGTTAAACACATAGCTTCTTAAGAACTCTGCAGTCTGCACTAAAAACCGGCATTCACATGCTTATTTTACCCCCCCAAACCCAAAAAAAAAACCTAACCAAAAAGGGAAAAAAATTTCCATCGCCAAGATAGTTCACTTCATCCATCAATGACTGAAAGAAAACTATACTGATGCTGTTGAATCCAAGCCACCTTTGGGTTTGTCATAAGGGGAAGGAGAATGACAAATTTCTTCAAATTACTTCTTCCAAGAGTACTAAAGCGTGAATTCATCAGGCTCCGTACGGTTGGTGGTTGTCACGGTTGATGGGTACAGAAGTTAAGTTCACGAATTCAATGGTACTTGGGTATTGTTTGGTCCATTTTCTACAAGAACTTTCTTTGCAAGCAAAGAAAAGCAATAGCTTTCAACCAAAGCCAACAAAAGAATTTCCAAAATGGTTAGAAAGGGAAAAAAAGAAAAAAAAGGAAGGTGCATAAGGCAACAAAGGTCAAACTCATTATCATCAAGAACTAGCTCCCATAATCACTTGTCAAGCTTGCAAACCCAAACTCGCTAAAATTCCAGTTTTCAGCCAAAAAAATATCATCTTTTCCACCATATTTTCTGAGCAACCAAACAGAACCTAAACCCAAAAAATTGCATGGAATATAACCAAATCAAACCACATATTTCAAGCAGTAAAGCTTCAGTTTTCACCCCTAACAAAAAGAAGCGCTACATTAAGTATTTAATTTCCTAAGGAAGAAAAACAGAAAATAGTTATTTTTCTCCTTTTCCTATATTTTCTCAGCAACCAAACGGACTACATAACAATTTCTTGTTAAAAAACTTAATGTAAATTCAAGTACTTACCCCATGAAAGCAAGAAACTCACTGATCCAACCACTGAAAGAACTGTACATCATATGCTTATGAATCGATTCCAACTATAAAAAAAATATAAACACACATCTGTATATAGCAGAAATCGAAGCTTAGAAGTTTTGACCCAGATCAAGTTTCCTTCTCTTTCTTGGGTTTGATGGATAAGCGCTAATTGAATCCTCCGCCGCAACTGCTTTTTGCTTCTTCTTTCCTTCGTGGGTAAGTGATTAATCATTAGCGGTAAGTGGTTAATAATCATGACAGTAATGACAATACCAAGATTAATCTCTCCATTTCGTACTTACCCGTACGAAAAATGCTCAAAAAATACATAAAAATGTTATATTTCTTCAACTCACCAAAGTGGTAATTGACTTGTTCATAAGTACATAATGCACAGACACCCAAGTTTTTAATGTTTTTTCTAGTAGTTCATAAGAAAATTGATTTCTATGTCTCCCCTACCGTTATTCATCGGGTCGGTTATAGTATCAAAATATCACTTTTTAATGCTAGACCTCTACACTTTTTTAATCGATGCTTATGATTCATTCAAGTCAAAATTAATGTTTCAATTAACTTTCAACATTGCACTTCTATGATACTATAGTCTTATTACTTATTTATCACATTTTACAAAATAAAGCATTATAATTTATCTTAGAAAAATACTAAAAAAATATAACATCTAACCTTCTTGGACCGTATACTAAATAGAGATCAAAGTAGCACAAAATGAAATGCAAGTGTATTTAAATGTAATTGTTTTAAAATATTTTTAGTATCTATAAAATAAGAGAGTTGAAAGTTTGAATTTTATTCTCATATATTTTTCTGTCTATTTCTATCGCACCATTCATTTCTGTCACAAGTTAAATTACTTAATTTTATATTAATTAATAATTCAATATAATTTTTATTTCAAATATTATTCACATACACAATAGTATACATATATTAATTTTTTGAGGTTATATATTTTGAGAAAAAAAAATTGTTATTTGAAAGCACATGTTATTGGTAGCTAATATGACAAGTCATTTGACATGCTATAAAAATATAGTACTAGTTATGTTTGAAAGTATTAGTATAACGCAAAGTACTAGTTATATGATATTTGCAAAATATTTGTCAAATTTTGGTCCAAATGTTTTGTTTTTATTTTATTTTGTTTTGGGTTTTTTTTTTTTGGGGAGGGAGGAGGGATGTTGGCCATATGATGAAATCCCTCTCACTTATTTATAAAAAACTTTTACCCATTAGAGTTGAAAAGTTCTTACTTTATCCATATCTTGGACCCACCCCACGATTGGCATCAGAATTTAATGCTTTCCATACCGTTGATGGTTAAGGTTTTTGTTTTTTGTTTGAAACAGCATTGATGGTTAAGTTGAAGATCCGAACCTTATCTCTAATTTTTTTTTTTTTAAAAAAAAGAGGTAAAGTGAAATTTTCACTAATCAATATATATATATATATATATATATATATATATATATATATTTGGGGGGAGAGAGAAAGGAACTTGAATCCTTGATTTAAGAAAACAAAATTTTTACAACGTAAAAAATTTCATTAGACCAAAGGGTCATAGTAAAAAATTTTTACTTATTCATTCTAACACAAAGTTGAGGACTTGATTACGGTATATTTAAAAAAAAAAGTTGGTATCATATTTTTAAAATTTACTGTTTCAAAGAATATTTTTATAATATTTGTGGGTCATTTTATAATTAAAAAAGTTATTATTTTTATGATTGTTTTATCACTTTTATAAATATTTTTACTATTGTTGTCACTTTTCTTAAATAAAAAAAAAATTATCATTTTGGTGAGTATTTTTAACACATTTATGAGTGTTTTACTACTATTTTGATAACTATTTTTATCATTTTTTTAAGTACTACAACAATGATAAAACTATCTACAAATGTAATAAAAATTACCACAAATATAATAAATTTCAATATGATACCAAAATTTTAAAATTTTGGTACCAAAATCAAGACCTAAAATTGATATCGATTTCAACATCTTTTTTTCCTTGCAAATAAAAAAAATACATGGTGCGTCAATCAAGTCAAGTCGTATCATTATAATATTTAGGTAATGTCACTTTGGGACTCGTGTGTATTTTTAAACACTATAATTTTGAAGTTCATGTTAATATCGTGTCGTGTTTGTATTATTTATTAGCCAGATATTATAAAATCAAAACTTTTTTTTCTCTCAATCAAATACACACTATGTAAGTCCTTAAAATTTTTTTTGATCCACTTACTAATAAAACTAATTTAGAAAAACATTTTAGAAATTATTCAACTTACAAAATACCTTCCATTTGACCGTAGAGGATTGTCCTAGATGCTCCCGCAACTCCCACTTGATGAAATGATTCTTTGTTTTTTCTTTTGAAAAGGGATAAAATATTGACAAAGAAATAAAAAAATTAAAAATCATACATTTTCTACATATAATAGCAATCAAACGGATTTATAACATTAAAATTATATTATTCGTGTTTAATCATAATTCAAATCATTTATTATTCATATTAGTTCAACATGTTATTTTCGAATTGCTTGTTGACTATTTTTTTTTTTTATTAGTTAAAAAAATGGAGTTCTATCTTCATGATCCTTCACCCGTAAGCTAATAAAACTCACTATATAACCCTAAAGCTAAGAGCAGCTCCAATTGAAGCTTCAAAATTCAGGTGGACAGTTCCAAGAGCTTTATTTGGCAGCAGCACTCCTCCAACCCGAAGTTTCAAATGCTGATTAAGCCCTCAAAAAAAAAAAGGCATGCTACCAAATTTGACAGCCTTCAACCAAACTACCAAATTCTTTTTTTTGATTTTTGAAATTGTATTTTTAATTATTGTTCAAATTTGTATTAGGTAAGTTAATGAGAATTGTCATTTCAATAAAATATATATTATTTTTCATATACATTATATAATATTTTAAAATATTTAATTTTAAATAATATTTTTTTTAATTGATCCTAAAATTTGTTTTAAATATATATATTAAATTAATATTAAGAAATAGACTTGAAAAAAAATTAGATTAAATAATATATCTTGACATATCGGTTGAAATAATCGGGGAAGATGTTAATTACCAAATGTCAAATTACCTAATAAGCCTTCAAATTTAAATCTAATATTTGCATTTGACATTACCACCGGGGATGTGCATTCATCCATTGCCATAAAAAAAAAAAAAAAGATGGCGACTCTTCGTTATCCAAAAGGATGTATGCATTTAAGCTCAGTAGTTTTCTTCACTCGTTTTTTTTTGTTTTTGTTTTTTAAAGTGTCTCTTCACTTTTTAAATCTTTATCAATCACTCCCTCTTTCATTGTCCAATCAATGCCAGCCTCCCACGGGAGCCCTCTATGCCAAAAAGTAAAACTAGAATAATGTCCATGAGAAATAAAGGCTAATCGCACTTTATACTCTCCGAAAGTATTTTAATTTTTAATTTATACCTTTAAATATTAAAATTTTTTAATTTATATTCCTTAATGTGATGAATTAGTAACAATGTGAACCTAATCTAAATTATCATTCAATTTTTTGTTATAAATTGAAGTATGTAAGGTATAAGTACTTGTAGAATCAGGATAAGATATGTCCCTCACTACAGATATTTGTATAAAATTATTTTGATACCATTTTGTGTAGGGGTGTTCATCATACCCAACAGGTAGGAAATATAGACTTTCGTCTTTCTACTTGATACTTTGCGAAAGAATTTTTCCTTGATTTACCCTATCCGATCAATTGTTGTATTTCTACTCGACTTTCGTCCAAATTAATCTGGTAAGAAGTCAAGTAGGAAATCGGATGAACACTTTTGTAGTTATTAATTTTTGAATTATTTTAATAATTTAATTAAATAACATGTACCAACTTAACAACACAATAAACCAATAATACTAAAATCTAAAACAATTACAACAACAATTATAATAAAACACATGAAAGTATAAATATCAATTCATCATAATTGTTGAACAAATATAATAACAATTATTTTAAATTTAAACCATATGGTTAGGGAATTAGGGTTTTAGTTTATATATATATTAATTAATTAATGAGAGTAAAGTAGGATAATAATACGAAAATTAATGATTATTTCGTATTCTTACCCGATTTTTTGGTTAATCGTTCAATAGGGTAGAGTAAGGTCAAAAATTGAGGTTAACCAAAAATTTGAACACTCATAATTTTATGTATTGAAAATAGGGTTTTACTAATCCGATAAAGGTTAACCTTATCATGTGTAACTCACATGATGTGATAATAATCCGTAAATTTATACATAAGTCCATTCACGAAGCACTTGCAATTTACGTTTTTCAATTTATGACAAAAAATTGAATGACAGTTTAAATTATGTTCACATTACTATAAATTCATAACATTAAGCGTATAAATTAAAATTTTTAATATTTAAGGGTATAAATTTAAAACTAAAATATCTTTTGAGATATAAAGTGATATAGTCCAAGAAATGAATAGGTAGTCTAATTCTTTCTTAGCTCTTTATCCATAAAAAAGTCAAAAAATTAATCATATAGGTCAAGTGGTAGTAGAAACAAATTTTAAACTTAGACATTTTAAGTTCGAAGTTTGACAATCTTTTGGGTCAGGCTATGAGATATTTTTATCCTTCATGAATATCTTAGTATAGGCGTGGATGATCTGCCTTTTACCGAATTAGGAAAAAAATTAATTGAAATGCGTGTAAATTGATTCGACACAACTTTTACTGTTGAAAAAAAAAAGGCAAAAAATTTGGGTTCACTTCAAATTTAGGTGTAACAGCCTAGAATTCATTATCTGTAAGCTAGGGTCAATAATTTGCGATATGATCTCTCAATTCAATTTGAAATTAAATATAAAAGTATATTAGGTACAAGTTTATATATTAATGATGGGACTCTTCTGAAAAAGCCTATGATGAAGACACGTGTCCTC